AGAACGCTTGTTTAATAAATCATTAGAATTCCGTTTGTTTTCATATATTAAAATTAAAAAGCTTACTATATTTAATAGGAAAAATAATATTGATTTTTTTTTTTTTAATCTCTAATATTAATTCACACAACAACTATCATGTGTGTATATATTAAACCTATCATCATGTCTAAAAGGGTAGTAAAATATGGTATAGTTGATCCCACGGATAAGGGACAATATAGGGCTAGGTGGCATGACCGCTCAGTTTATATGTATTATATATTACTAATTGATGGCATACAAAATATTATAATTTATTATTTCTCCCAATAAAAAAAAAATGCTATAGGCCTCAACTAATCTACTAAATTTTTATCAAATCTCTTACATACAAACCCACGTGTATACTTTACACACCCATATAAAAAATTTAATAGAAAATTTGAAAGATTGTTTAGAATCTGGCATAACTCATAAAAAAAAACTCTAAATTACATGTTTGTCATACAGGAGAAAATGAATGCCTACCATTTTATATACTTTAAAGGGCAATGTCATTTTGTATACTTTAAAGGGCAATGTCATTGGTGTCATTAAACCCACTTGGTCATATAAACTTTAAAAGGCCATGTCATTTAATCCACTTGGTGATTGTAGTAAAACTCTTACTCTAATTTTCCAATTATTAGGTGAAAAATAAAATAATTTTATAAACACTAACGCTTTTAATTACTAAAAATCTTATAAAAATAAGAGAGATCAAATACGATTGACTCTTAAAAAAGTAATGATAGTTGAACATTCAATGATATTTGATCACATGATTTTAGTAAATATTTTATTAAGAGTTTTAGTACATATAACATTACTCAAAAGTAAAGAAAATGATGAAAAGTTAGGATCTGTATGTTAGAGTTACTTGTTTTTCATATGAAATTACACAAATTATAATGATAATATTTTTATATAATATTTTATTTATCAATGATATGTGTATTAATTTAATGAGTTCTATCACTCATTTATTTCTAATATAGTAGTAGCACGGTACATAGTAGTAATAATAATTTAAAAAAATGGTATAATAATTATTGTAGCTTTATTGACAAGATAATATGAAGCTAAATATCTTTGTATGTTTTGGTGGATGGACAAAATTCATTGGATATTATTAGCTTATGAAGAAGAATACATTCACTCATGGGAATTGAGCATTAGAATAGTTTTAACTTAAATATTATATTTGTTTTGAAAAAAAAAATGGTATGATTAATAATTGTTATTTTTTGGCTTAATATGTTGATTGAGTTTATTTTTATTTTTTATTTTTGTTTACATCGGAAAGATGTTGATTGAGTTTATTATTATAACGTCTTGATCTTTAGGTCTACAATAATATTTGGATCTTTCCAATTTTATTATTTTAATTGAATATGGGAAAGCCATATGCAATTGATTCTTTCTTCATGGGACAAGGTCTTGAAAATTCAAAAGATGACAAATCACTTGTGATGTGTGGATGTTGATTTCTGACCGCACAATTAAAAGGGAGAACTCAGTTGGAGAGTATCGGCAGAATAGATTAAACCCAAACAACCTGTCACAGAAAGATAAGAATCCGGCGGTGGTTCGTCTACCCGGGGACACTCCGACGGTCAAGTCAATAATCAAATATCTCTTAAAGATAGCTAATTGTGCTTAACTCACAAGAAAGAACTTATTGCTCCCAATCTATTACACATACCTGAGACCTACGGGGGTGCCCTGCTTTTATAACCAGTACTGACCTGATCCTTGTAGAAGCATCACTTCAGTGGACTCAGACTCAATACTCATCCTGGACTCTCAACTAGACAGAGATAAACTCCCCAAGAGCTTTATCTTTATCAGCTTTGAGGTCCTCCTCTATTCTAGGACTCTTGTCTCTTATTTGCTCGCCTCGGACTTCGGTATCTCCGCAGATAATCTCGGCCTAATCGAAATCACTTCAGCATCAGGACCAGGCCACGTAGCACCTCGGCTGACACTTTGGCGTTACCTTGGCCACGTGCTGTCATTCACAAAATATATCCCCACAGCTGCCCCCTAGGTTCTATTACCTCGACAACCTGAGGTGATGGAACCTATACCGTTCGTCCAGATTTTATGTCAGCTAAGAATTCACTTGTCCTTCTGACTGAGATCATGGCTCTTCGACTTCATAAAACCAGGACACAGTTATCCATCTTTATCAATGGCCAAGAACCAAGTTCTTTAAGTTCCTTAACTGAGATCGTTCTTTTAGCCGAGGTTTTTGCTTTATTAAATCAAAAACTCCAAGAGTTTTATCTACACTTGAGCTGTCATGCATGGTTTTTCTCAACCGTTTCCGCCACGCATCCTTTTCACATTGGTTCGTACCTGACACGCGCTATCAGGTCACGTCGCTTCTGTGCACGCTACCTGACAGACACGGCGTCCAAGGCATATCATTATGGTTTGCTACCTCTTCATATTTTTGACAAAACTTCTCATTCTCTCTCTGTCTCTTCACTTTTAAGAATTTAATTTGCCTTCAAATTTTCTCCCTTTGACACTTCTCTTCTAAACCTCCATTTTCGTGCTTCCAAGCTCTTGCAACTGCTCCAATCATCTCCTCTGGCAAGTATTTCTTCGTTTGGTTCTAATCATTCATGCCGTCTGACTGCAGCGAGACTCATTTTGGCATCCTTTCTATCAGCTTCACTAGGTAAGCCCTCAGTTTCTTCTTTTTACTTCCTGGCCATGTTCTTCAATATATCTTCTTTTTTAGTTTTGTCATATGTTCCACTCCGTATCTGTTGCTGTGGAAGTTACATCTGTTTTCGTAGTTGTACTTTGTTTAGTATGAGACATTCTCTGTTCTTGAATCTGTCTTATTCCTCGAAGGTTCATCATTGTATTTGCTTATGATTTGCACATATTGCTTTCACACACTCACAGAACGTTTGTAATTTTTCATGTTTTTGGACTGTCATCCGTATGACTAATCACACCCTTAGCACATTGTACTGGTCACTTTGAATGTCTGGCACTGCTCTAGCCATATCTATATTTTTACTTTGTTTGCTTTTGATGCTTCGTGACTCTAAATCATGCTCATTTTTCTATTTTTCTTGTTGTATTTCCAGAATTTTCCCTTAATTCCTGTTTCTGTAGTTTCTAGGATTGGGATTTGCTTTAGAACCTTATTCTTTAGGAAAATTGAAATGAGTCCTTCTTAGATCTTCAAAAACCCTTGCACCAATGCCTGTTTAGGCTTTAGCTGCGGTATTCAAACCTATATCCATCACTTTGTTATCCAACCCCTTCTTGCCGAGATAATGGATATATTCAGGTAGAAGGTAGATACCCCAGAAAAACTTAAGTACTTTAAGAGAGAGTTTTCTATCCCAGTTGACATCCAGATTAGGTTAGCTGGGGATGAGGACTCTATCATACCACATAGAGACTCCATGCCCCTCCCCGTGGTTGCCTTCATTGAATGCGAACTTCAGCTTCTCTTAGACATTCTCTTTAGGAAAGTCCTTCACTACTACAAACTCAACCCTATGCAGTTAGCTATCAATTCCTATAGAGTTATTAATGGTATAATTGCTCTAGCCCGCCAAGAAAACGCTAGGATAACATTAGTCGACATTCAATTTTGTTATACCATGTGTGGCCTAAAGTCTAAAAAAGGCTACATTTATTACCTCAAGCCGAGATCCACTGCCTACAAAATCATAGCCGACCTCCCAGACTCTTCAACAAGGATGCTGGAGATAATTACCTGATCGTCTTGGGCAATTGGGAGTTTGCTCCTGATAATGATCTTCATCTCTTCCCTCTGCGCCAATTAGTGTTTAAAGAGGATGAGGGTAAGAACTAAGTGTTTTAACTTTTCTATTTAAGGCTTTATCACTTTATTTCTCTTATTTGTTCTAATGTCTACCTTCTGCTCTTTGCAGCTTTTCCTCAACCATCAAAAGACTTCCACCAATCCTTTTTCCCTAGCAAAGACCAAAAAAGCCTGCTGGGTCTGCCTATTGACCGACGTAAAGCTCCTCTGCTACTCAATTATATCCCAACATATAAGTCAGCCTTGCCCAACGTTCCTAAACGCAGCAAGACTCCTCTGCCGACTTTCACTCCACCAACCACTTCATCACCAAGGCCAAACTAGGCCTCTTCCTCAGATCCAGTCGAGCTGCCATCAACCTCTACCCCCTAACTTATCCCGACATCCTAGCGCCAACAATGACGTCGTGCCCCGGCAAACGCTACAGTCGACAGAACTCATAGCCGCAAACACCGAGATGCTGAGACGTCGACTTACTATCCAACCAATCCTCCAATCGCCATAGTAGCAATACACTTCGGTACCAGAGTAACCGTTGTCGCCACCGTTGACGAAATGAGCCGTAAACCAGCCATCGTTGAGGATCTTCTAGTCAATATCCTTGGGGTAGTGACTGCGCAGTTCTCCTCTTCCCCCTCTCAATCCAAGCTAAAGCCTAAGAGAGTCAAGAAGGCTAAGGCCAAGGCTATAGTAACTTAGGTTGATTCTAAGGACACTGTACCGATCTCCAAACTAGCCGAGACTGAAAAGAATATTCCTACTGCCGACAATAGGCCAGCCGAGGCCCCATCGCCCGACGGCCCTCTGGCAAAAAAATCGAGGTCTGACCACACCGAAGGTAGCAGCAGCTTTCCCCGCAGCATGATCTAGACGCCCCAGGTCATGGTAGGGGACAGACCTTTGATAGTTGGTGATAGTGCGATCTAGAATGTAGAGGTCGGCACCACCTTATCAACGGCTGTGATCCTACCAAAGGATTTGAATCAAATGGCCGACCTCCATGAGTACGACAACTTCGATTTGATGATACAACACTTAGTCTTGGTAAGTCTCCTTATTTACCCTTTTAAAGTTTTTTAACACTTAGTCAAATTTTTCTAATATGTTTCAATCCTTGTAGGCCATCCAACATGCGCATTTATACGCGGTCAAGACAAAGATGACAAGGAAGGAGTTGGCAAAAAAAACTCAAGAAGCTGCCAAACTCTTTTTCTCTCTCAATCATGCTGAAGCCAACAATCGAACTCTGTTTGATCAAGCCAAGGCTTCTAGGGCTGCTCAGAACCAAGCCAAGAAAAAAGCAAAAACTGCCGAGGCTAATGCCGAAGCCACTAAGGCCAATCTCGAGGATGCCAAGGCTAAGGCCATTGAGTTAGAGGCCAAACTCCAAGAGGCCCTTGACTCAAAGGATGCCGAGGTCAAGGCGGCCGATGAGAAGGCTTTCGAAGAGGGCCAAGCCGCCGTCTGCGACCAGTACAAAGGGCAAGACAACCTGGCTTACAACCAAGGTTATTACCTCGACTGGACGGCGGTGCTCAACAAGATATCTGTCCCAATGGCCTCCCTACACCGGGATATTAACCAGCTCCAAGTGCCCTTCCCTCTTGCTCTGAAGGAATCTGATGATGATGTCGAAAAAGATAACGCCGAGGAAGAGGCTGAGGACGAAAAAGGGGCTGCTGTTGAGGCCAAGTCCCCCACTCTGAATGAGCAAGTTCTTGACTTGATTCAAGACGAGGAGGATGAGGTCTCCAAGAGTGCCTCTCCTAAGAGGACAGCGTCTGAAGCCGAGGTACAGACAGCCGAGAAAAGCCTTGACCAGACTATTCTCGAGATCGATGCCGAGATCGAGGCGAATAAGACTGTCGTGAAGCTTTCCCAGTTGTTTGCTGAAGCCGACACACAGCCAATCGCCGATGCAGAACAGTCCATTTAGAATCTTTTTCTGTACTTTTTGTAACCTTTTTGTTTGAACAATGTTTTAGTTTTTACATTTGGCCGATGTGCCCCTTGTATATCCGAACAAGTTTTCAATGCAAGTTTTTTTTCTGCAACTTAGACAAGCAGCCTCCTATGCCAGGCCGAAGTGCCATTTTGTATTCAAACAAGTTGCTTTGTTGAATGCTTGCCTTCTTTCCTTCTAAGTGTTGTATGCCTTCTTTTCTTTATGCTTTACTGCTTTTCTTCTATGTATGTTTCTATACTTAGAATATTTTTTGCATTTCTTCAAAGTACACCTTAATTGGGTATTCACCGCGGGGTAAAGTACCTGAGATATACTCTGATTGTTTGTCTCAGCCAACAACTAGAATTCCTAAGCTAACACTTAAAAATGTTTCGAAACATTTTTACAAGTGTTGTTTCTTTAAACTTTATTCAATATACTTGCTTCGTCACTTCTATTTACTGTCTTCTATCAAAACTTCGCCCTTTTAAGCTTGACAGCCTGGTTAGTCATCTCGGGTAAGATGTACCTCGGATACATTATTACCTCGGCTAGCTCCAACTTGTAAATTTCTCTAAAATTTCAACAAGTGTTAAGCCCATTTTAGCTTGTAAATTTTTTCTACAGAATTTCAACAAGTCCCAAGCTCTATTTATCATTTCTGCTCCCTGCCTCCTAATGTGAACCTAAGTTTTACTTAAGTTCACATTATGCGTTTATAGTCTTTCGCCGAAGTTAGATTCAAACAAATACTAGCCGAGATGGTCAACCTTGGTTTCTTTGTTAATCCAACTAAAGCAAACATCAAGACTAGACCACGTGGCACCTTAGTTGACACTTCGGGGTCACCTTGGCCACGTGTTGTCATTCACAAAATATGTCCCCACAACTACCCCCTAGGTTCTATTACCTCGGCAACCTGAGGTGATGGAGCCTACATTGCTAGTTCATTTACCACGTCGGCTAAAATTCGTTCTTTCTTCCACGTCCAAGATCATTACTCGTCGGCTTCATGTACCTAGGACTCAACTGTCCATCTCCTATTAATGACCAAGATTCAAAAAGCTTGGTTCTTTGAGTTCCTTAACCGAGATTGTTTCTATAGCTGAGGTTGTTGCCTTATCAGATCAAGAATTCTAAGAGTTTTATCTGTGCATGAGCTATCACACATGATTTTCTCAACTGTTTTATCCATGTGTCACGCCCCTATTGGCTCGTACCATTCACGCGTTACTACGTCACGTCGATTTGTCCACGCAGCCTGACAAGTACCTCGTCCTAGGCATTCCATTATGGTTTGTTACCCTTTCGATTTTTTGACAAAACTCTTACTCTCTCTCCGTCTCTTCACTCTTGAGAATTCAATTTGCCTTCGAATTTTCTCTTTCTAACTCTTCTCTCCCAATCCTCCATTTTTGTGCTTCGAAGTTCTTGCAACTGCTCCAATCATCTCCTCCGGCAAGCAATTCATCATTTGGTTTCGATTATTCACGTCATCTGACTCCGACGAGACTTATTCTGGCGTCCTTTCTGTCGGCTTCACTTGGTAAGTCCTCAGTTTTTTTTTTTTATAAAGTTTTTTTTTCCGTATATTCCACTTTGTATCTGTTGCTGTGGAAGTTACATCTGTTTTCGTAGTTGTACTTTGTTTAGTATGAGACATTCTCTGTTCTTGAATCTGTCTTATTCCTCGAAGTTTCATCATTGTATTTGCTTATGATTTGCACACATTGCTTTCACACACTCACAGAACATTTGTAATTTTTCATGTTTTTGGACTGTCATCCGTATGACTAATCACACCCTTAGCACATTGTACTGGTCACTTTGAATGTCTGGCACTGCTCTAGCCATATCTATATTTTTACTTTGTTTGCTTTTGATGCTTCGTGACTCTAAATCATGCTCATTTTCTATTTTTCTTGTTGTATTTCCAGAATTTTCCCTTAATTCCTGTTTCTGTAGTTTCTAGGATTGGGATTTGCTTTAGAACCTTATTCTTTAGGAAAATTGAAATGAGTCCTTCTTAGATCTTCAAAAACCCTTGCACCAATGCCTGTTTAGGCTTTAGCTGCGGTATTCAAACCTATATCCATCACTTTGTTATCCAACCCCTTCTTGCCGAGATAATGGATATATTCAGGTAGAAGGTAGATACCCCAGAAAAACTTAAGTACTTTAAGAGAGAGTTTTCTATCCCAGTTGACATCCAGATTAGGTTAGCTGGGGATGAGGACTCTATCATACCACATAGAGACTCCATGCCCCTCCCCGTGGTTGCCTTCATTGAATGCGAACTTCAGCTTCTCTTAGACATTCTCTTTAGGAAAGTCCTTCACTACTACAAACTCAACCCTATGCAGTTAGCTATCAATTCCTATAGAGTTATTAATGGTATAATTGCTCTAGCCCGCCAAGAAAACGCTAGGATAACATTAGTCGACATTCAATTTTGTTATACCATGTGTGGCCTAAAGTCTAAAAAAGGCTACATTTATTACCTCAAGCCGAGATCCACTGCCTACAAAATCATAGCCGACCTCCCAGACTCTTCAACAAGGATGCTGGAGATAATTACCTGATCGTCTTGGGCAATTGGGAGTTTGCTCCTGATAATGATCTTCATCTCTTCCCTCTGCGCCAATTAGTGTTTAAAGAGGATGAGGGTAAGAACTAAGTGTTTTAACTTTTCTATTTAAGGCTTTATCACTTTATTTCTCTTATTTGTTCTAATGTCTACCTTCTGCTCTTTGCAGCTTTTCCTCAACCATCAAAAGACTTCCACCAATCCTTTTTCCCTAGCAAAGACCAAAAAAGCCTGCTGGGTCTGCCTATTGACCGACGTAAAGCTCCTCTGCTACTCAATTATATCCCAACATATAAGTCAGCCTTGCCCAACGTTCCTAAACGCAGCAAGACTCCTCTGCCGACTTTCACTCCACCAACCACTTCATCACCAAGGCCAAACTAGGCCTCTTCCTCAGATCCAGTCGAGCTGCCATCAACCTCTACCCCCTAACTTATCCCGACATCCTAGCGCCAACACTGACGTCGTGTCCCGGCAAACGCTCCAGCCGACAGAACTCATAGCTGCAAACACCGAGATGCTGAGACGTCGGCTTACGATCCAACCAATCCTTCAATCGCCATAGTAGCAATACACTTCGGTACCAGAGTAACCGTTGTCGCCACCGCTGACGAAATGAGCCGTAAACCAGCCATCGTTGAGGATCTTCTAGTCAATATCCTTGGGGTAGTGACTGCGCAGTCCTCCTCTTCCCCCTCTCAATCCAAGCTAAAGCCTAAGAGAGTCAAGAAGGCTAAGGCCAAGGCTATAGTAACTTAGGTTGATTCTAAGGACACTGTACCGATCTCCAAACTTGCCGAGACTGAAAATAATATTCCTACTGTCGACAATAGGCCAACCGAGGCCCCATCGCCTGACGGCCCTCCGGTAAAAAAACTGAGGTCTGACCACACTGAAGGTAGCAGCAGCTTTCCCCGCAGCATGATCTAGACGCCCCAGGTCATGGTAGGGGACAGACCTTTGATAGTCGGTGATAGCGCGATCTAGGATGTAGAGGTTGGCGCCACCTTATCAACGGCTGTGCTCCTACCAAAGGATTTGAATCAAATGGCCGACCTCCACGAGTACGAGAACTTCGATTTGATGATACAACACTCAGTCTTGGTAAGTCTCCTTATTTACCCTTTTAAAGTTTTTTAACACTTAGTCAAATTTTTCTAATATGTTTCAATCCTTGTAGGCCATCCAACATGCGCATTTATACGCGGTCAAGACAAAGATGACAAGGAAGGAGTTGGCAAAAAAAACTCAAAAAGCTGCCAAACTCCTTTCCTCTCTCAATCATGCTGAAGCCAACTGTAACAAGCCCGCGGGGGACCTCGCTACAGCTCGGACTCGACTTTCGTAGTCACGGTTCTAAGTCTGAACCAAAGAGTCCAAATCCGGCAAATCGTTTTGAGAAAAAATAGATTTTTGAAAGAAGTGCCAAACATGGACTGCTTTGCCAGATACAGAGTCGCCACCTAAATATTTTATTTTGGGAAATTTAGGAAACCCTGACTCGGTGCCAAAAGGCCACGTGTCCGTCATCACCAAAGTTGCCTCGGCTCGGGAACTTGGGTACGATTAGGGAAGGTCACTTCGTGAGCACCCCCGCTCGCCCAGTCATAGACCGGCCTCTACTAACCACGATATCAATTTTTGAAAACATTGTGAATTCTTATTCCGGTTATTAGCCTAGGTTACTATGTGATGCTTACAGCATATAAGTATAGACCGGGTCGTCCGAATTGGAACAAAACATTTCATGTTTGTTTTTGAAAGATGGTTTGCTACTCGCAAGTAGGCTTAAAATGTAGTTTTGCCACCCTCAAGTGGGCTTTAGAAAAGATGGTTTTGCCACACCCGAGGGTGGCTATCTTAGTGCGGCTTAAAACTCACAGTCAATGATTTGTTCCATTTAAAACAACCCGACACTTCACCCACAGGCATTCAGGCAGTTATATCACATAAGCACATAGCCTCCTGTAAGCATGCTATTCATGCATTCACTCACACGCATGCAAGGATGCTAAGCATAGAACTTACCGAGTACTCCAAGCCAAAAATAGGAACTCATTAGAAATTCATGCATGAATCCTAAGTATACAGAAATGCCTAATGCAAACACATGCAAAAGCAACTATAGCAGGCTCGGCTATTCTAAGATAGCATATGAAATGCTACAATTATCATGTATCAACTTGGGGAATTGAAAGTACAATGCAGTTAGTAATGCGCAGGGCCCGGTGCATGCGCATACAGATGAATGATGCAAACATGTTATCATACTGTATGCTTAATCGAAATATGCCCTGATCTAACCATCGTAAGGGTATAAATAAAAGGGAGAAAGACGTGGGGGGAAGACATACAACACACCACACGCACACTTATTACAATTGTGCCCTCGCGCAGAGGGTCC